AACTTGGTTATAGACAAAAGAAAAGCAAATTAGCTTGAAGAATTGCGAGCGGACGGAGAGTCAGCGTCAATGGTTACACACTAACAACAGGGGACGCAATGGTAACCGATCCACGGAACAAATAAGGCAACGGATAACTAGTGAAGACAAAGCGAATCGCGCGAGCTGACCAGAATCGGGTGGGTAAGACGCGCAGTGAAGAACTGGTGAGGCCAAGAATGGGTCAAGCTGAACGTGGAAGCAGATAAAGCACAGGTGGGTTGGATAGAACGGAACGAACGGATAGCACGTAATGACTAGTGAACATAGACAGCAGGAGACCTATCAATGAAAACGGACCGGTGAGAATTCGTCGCAATTAAACAGTGATTCAAATATCTATACAGCGTAGGTTCGGTCAAACAACCATGATCCCGGTACATAAGTGCGGTGGATCCAACTGCGACGAATTGCACCATCATGATAACATGAAAGAACAATGCTGTCAAAGTGAGGTAGACCGTAAACAAAATACAAAGAGATTTAAGAAGGAACTGCGTAAATTTCATAGGAGGGAACATCAATACATAGATATAAGAGATCGGATGCAGGTGTATCAATGACTTGGAGACTGCACTATGTTAAATAGGGTTTTCAAACATTGGTGTGGACCATGCACCAGCTTGACCAAGTCTCTCAGTCGATTTCTTCATGCCCCAATGCCACGTCATGGACTGGCCATCTCGCAGTTTCGCCCAAGTTGGTGCAATGACGGAGTATAGTGCAAGCCGAGGAACGCTGTGAACGGGTATACGAAGAACATGGCCTAACCAAGGCAAACTATTAAGCTTTAGCAAACACCCGAGTGAAGCAACAGGGTGTGGGTATATTTCGTCATGTGGAGAGATGAGCGTTAATAATCGAAGTCGTCTTTGATACCCTTCGAAGTGTAGTCAGTCGGAGCATAAACGAAAGCGATGAAAAGGCACACTGCCTTCAGACGATGCTCACTGTTGGAGGCAAAACGGCCAAGTGCTGGGATACACCGGCAGCGCAAAGCAAAGGCTCGTTAGGCCTGTCAACAAGTCAGCTAATTCAGTGAAGCTTCGCGCGCAGGCATTTCACACTCCTGACTGACCACAAGTCATTACTGTCGATATTCGGCTTAAAGAAAGGAAGCCCCGTTTTTATTGCAAATCGGTTACAAAGATGGGCGACTATACTGCTGGCGTATGATTTCAGTATACAGTATCAGCCTACACAACAAATCGGCAAAAGGGATGCTCTGTCTCGTCTTATTAATTCGCACCCAAAGAAGAACGTTGGTTGTGTGATTGCAGCTAGCAAACTCGAGTAAGAAGTCTAGCGAATCCTAACCGATAACGTAAGAAAATTATCAGTGACAGCGGACATCATTCGGGTAGATTTCCCAAGACAGAACTATAGAGAAAGTGATGCATTACGTGGAAACGGTGGTATCCCTGCTGATTTGCTGCATTTCTTCAATCGACGTGGTTCACTGTCCGTTGCGAACAAGTGCTTAAAGTTTGGGGACCGAGTTGAAGTGCCAAAGAAATTGAACAGGCAATTCTTACAGCAGTTTCGTACCGGTATCAACTGTAAGGAAGCTTTAGCATGTAGTTCTGCTTATTGGTCCGGGATAGATTCAGAGACTGAAGAATTTTGTCAAAAGTGTGAATCCTGTCAACTTGCTGCGAAGTCCCCTCCCAAGTGCCGTGGCAGCGAATCCACTTAGATTATGCAGGGCCAATCGACGGTCAATGTTATCTCGTTTTGGCGGACTCCATCGCCAAATGGCCCGATGTGATGCCGATGCAAAATCCGACTGCCCAGAAAACGATCAATGTGCTGAATAAGTTGTTCCGGTATTTTAGTCTGCCAGAGATAACAGTGACAGACAACGGAACACAATTGACTTCAACTTTCTTAAGCAAGTGATGCAAGGAGAAAGGAATTCAGAAGATGTTCTCACTACTGCATCACTCACAATCAAATAAGCCAGGTGGAACGGTTCATGGATACTTTCGAACGTGCTCTCTGTAAAACGGGAAAAACAAGGTCGCAAAGGATGCGATCCAGTATTTGCTGTACATGTACCGAGACGCGCGAAACACAAACGCCCCAGATGGAAAATTTCTCACAAGAGTCGTGTTTAGACGAACTCTGAACAACCTTTGACATTATCCCCAGAAATGGGGAAAAACACGACGGACAAAAGAGGGAGGAGCAAGTAAGCTGGCTTCGTAGGTTCGAGATGGGTGATTACGTTTACGAACGAAACTTTAAAAGCCAGTGAAGATAGTCGGGCGGAACAGTTGTGTGTAAGAGCGGCAAGGTTATCTACGAGATAACAGTCGGAAAGAAGTAGTGGATTAGGCACGTCAGTCATTTCCGACCGCGAGATGTAAGGTATGGAGAACGGAAACAACAACGGAAAGCAACCGATTGTACAGACCTCATAAGTTCAATCATGCGGGCCAACTCGAAGAGGTGAGCAACTGAGATGGCTACAAGTCGACTCAAAAGCAAAACGTTATGATCAAAACTAAGTACGGAGAATAAGTGGATACAATCAATTCGGAGGGGGAAGAGGTGTAGGAGAAAAAACGGCCAAATGTTGGAATGCACTTTGGTGGCGTAAAGCACGGATCCGTTATGTCTGCCAAGTCGGCTAATTCAATGAAATCTCGCCAGTGTTGGTGGCCGGATCGATCACCCAGTCATACGCGTGGGCGTAGTGTGAGCCATACCAAGATTTCTGTGCCACAGCGAGAAAACTTTTCGGAGCGTCAAATTACGAAGCGACCGGAGACATCAAGCTTGGCTGGGTCTGCATGTTGGCCGGGACGCCAAAGCGGCAGACAAAAAACGTACTTCGCATACGGAGGGCGAAGTCAATAGCCAAAATGTCAGTGTAATGGCGTATGCTTGACTTAGAAATATAATCACGAGTGATTCTAAGAAATCCTCTCTGGTCAGCCAAGTTGTCTCTTCAGATTTCTCCGTGTGGGTTGCAGGCAAAACCAGGCAGTGAGCAGAGACAGATCAGAGCTACGAAAGTGACCATTACGACACTCACCCATATGGGCACGAAGTCGGATCGCACATATGCGGCTGCCCACTGGTATCCAGTCGAGTAGATTGCCTTCAGTAAGTTTGCTGAGGATTACTAATACCGTAAATACTTTGAGCAATCGACCAAGTATCGCCAAGGATGTGAATAGTGCAGCCACTATCGGCAGATTCGGAACCAAGAGTCACGAAGTTATCATCCTGTATGCACGTTTCTGAGACACATTGTACACCAATAACAAGACAGTGGAGAGTGAGAGTTAGTACTGCCTGTTACGGAGTTTAAACGAATCCATGCAAATTAGACTCTAGTTTGAAAGGGGTTACATGCATCAAAACATTAGTTGCGCAGCCGGCGGAAGTCGCTTGCTTAGTACACGGGGAAGAAGAAGTCTACGAGGGAAGAAAAACCAAGAAGTAACAGTATTAGCGTTGGGGTCGCGAGGGCAGTTGATACTCCCGGCTGCCTATTTTGATAGATGGATTTCGTTTGAGGTGCCTCTGACTCAACAATCTGATCCACAAAGCAGCGGGTAGCAAGTCCAGCTATTGAGTGTGGTTGCAGAGACCAGATAGGATCTGCTTGAGGTCAGTCGAACGCAGCCTTCGAAGATTTATAACAATCCAAGTGTTTCTCGACCGCAGTGTTAGACACCTGAGGTTACAATCAACCGTAGCTGGTAGTTGGCGGGTTTACACCCATCTGGCCAATTGCTGTTTGGCCCGAGACGGTCAGTAGCAAACCACTGAGCACAAGGTGGTGTTTTCCCGCAGTCAGAGGCAATGTGTGGTGCCTGTGCCCAACGCCAACCGAGCTGTGATCTTATAACGCATAAGCCAGTTGTCTCCAAAGGTTAGGTTTAAAGAGGAGAGGGCCATCGACATCCCCAACATCCGAAGGAAATGCTGATACTGGATTGGTCAGACCCCTCAACCACTGAGCTGTCTGATATGAGTGGCTCTGAAGGCAGTTGGAAAGTGCCACTCGGCGTAGCTTAATGGGTCACGGAGGTACGCAAACCATCGCATTATCTAAAGGTCCAGTGTAGTCACGATGCGCAGAGAACAAATGCTGTATTGCCTTAAGAATAACAGAGTTTGATCACTAACCAGACTTGGTTTAACGATAGGAAGGCTACGCGAGATATACCACGCAGAAAAATAAAGCATCATTACGGTATGAGAATCTCGACGTACCCCACTGTTAGAAGTCAACTAGGGGAGGCAAGAAAGAGATAGGAGAAAAAAGTGAACACGCTATACTATCTCTAGTGCTAAACTCCACTGAGACCAATCAGATTCATCAGGGTAATCGTTGTCCGACGCGCAGTTGAGTATCGTTGTCCCAAGTACGGATAAGAAGTGAGAATTCTGGAATAATACGAACAATGAGGAGCCAGAAAAACGACTCGACCATCCGATAGACCGACAAGAAGTGTTAGAATTTCAAGTCAGTGCCAAGTATTAGATGTCATCGGGAGGAAGTCAAACGCGTTCGCACAGTTTGGATTTGGCTGTTTCAATGTATTGCGGAATGCAAGTATGCTGTATATTTTGATACAAATAAGTAACTGGCACAAAGAAGAGAGAAAGATGCACCAATCGCACACAACTATGCGTGGAAGAAACACTGGTGTCAATGCCAACCGGAGCGCTCACGCCACAGGGAAGAGATAGAATCGCGTATCCAAGCCCCCGTGCAGTGAATTAGCAAAAGATTTAGAATCGTCCATTTGTGTTCAGTATGGACTACTGTAGCGAGATGGGTAATAGAGGAGCGAAGCTCACGGTGCCGCTCATGTCGCAGAGGAGATAAAAAGACCGTTTAAAACCCTAACATAACTAGCTGAAGCAATACGACGAGTCGAGGAACAAGTTTCCGAGACACAATAGCAAGTAACCTAAATAAGCACAAATAATCAACTTACACCCCGACGGTAGCTGAGTGCCTCATACACGGAGATATCCAGATTGTGGTAAGTCCTCGTGGCAGCCAAGTTCTGTGGGAGACGGGGAGAAATTGAAGCAAACATATTGTTAATAAAACAGTAAATGCACCCGAAAGACAATGAATAATCCCCGAACGCTTGGACTAGCAGCTCTCATTCAAGGCAAAATTTCAAAATAACGCGCACCAAGAGAACATTCATAAAACTGCTCTGTACTAGGTGACAGCTCGTTTGTGTTTAGATCAGTGCAAGAGAAAGCCAGAGGAACTCAGTGACTCAATTCATCGGTGTGAAGGCATGTTACTCATGAGTAGAATGTAAACGCAAAGAAAAATGACGGGCCAAAGCAGCACGATGAGGGGAAACCAAGTGTACACGGTCGGGGCAGCGGTTACCTTCTGACGTGAAGGACTAACCTAATGGTCAGAAAGCAGGTTCGTTAAATAATGGTAGAAAGACAAGAGACAAAGTAGTGCTTTTGTCTAGACTTGTATTTTCACAAGCCTCGAGTAAAACTGAAACAATGTCGGGGTATGTTCGTTTGATAGTGCGTAGGTTTGACAACGCAGCCCTGAGTAAGTAGTTTGTTCTATCAAGCACAACACCGCATAAAGTACCGTGATGTGTTATCCAGTTGGGCAAATAACGCCTCGTGACAGTTAATAGTTCAGCTCAGAAGATCAGCTATCGTACACGGACAAAAGCGGTGCACCAAGCAACGTTGATTGACAATGCTATAAAAAGAGACTACTGAAAAAGCGGTATGAGGTAAATGTTAGTGAATAGTAAAAATAATGGCTACAGCAGAAGAACTGAATAACCAGAACACATCACCGAGAGATGGAAGAGATAGGAGTAGGAGTGGATGTGTACGTTCTTAATAATGAAACCGAAATTGCCAAAGGATGCCTCTCCAATCAGCCCGTCCATTTATCGCATTCTACTTTGCCGCTAAAGAAGAAAATAAACGGGAGTATGCACTCTGTTCCGATAACCACGCACCACAGAAAAGGTGCACATGGCTCGGATATGTGCACTCGTAGGGTTTCACTTAGCAGCTTGCTACAGAATTCAAACACATCGTGAGCAGAAGAACAAAATCAGCCTCAGTTACAAGCGTTTACCCAACAAGTACCCTTCAAATGTCACGAATACTCAGCAGGCTATAAACCGAAGGCAGCATCAAAGAAAAGGAAATAGAATAACCGAATACATGTGGAGGATATGATAACCGGAATTGGTCCCACTAATCTGTACATCGGATTTCTGTCAACGGCTATAGACATATGAGTGTCAACAACGCAGGCATTCATGAAGGTAAGCAACCTAGTGCGTGGTGAATAACAGCGTCTTCTTAAAACAGGACATTCCTTCCTCAAGTTCATGTACAAACATAAAGTTTTATTGGAAAATCCCACCTCATCCCAGGTCACATCCATACCATCTCAAACGAATGTTAGCATATTGTACCAAGCTTTTAGCGTGGCACATTTTCGAAATCGCGTGCAGTGCTTTCAAGTTAGCGAGGCTAAGAACGCTGTTTTGGCGTCGTTGACACTCTCATTGGTCATGGGACGTTAGCCAATGGGACACCGGTTGGAAGCCCCCAGCATAAGCGACAGACAGTCCAATGAAAGTGGTCGAGCACCACCTTCTGTTCTATTTGATGCCTATCTGAAGGAAACCTCGATGATTGGTCTCCAAACTGAAACCGTCCAATGGGCAACTTGTGATGCCTGTCTAAGGAGGAGATCCTAGCTACCACATGATCCGAAGCTTAAGACGTAACCAGTGCGGACAGACATACTAACCAGCACATGAAGCGGTCTATAGTGATCGCTAGCGGCTACCTGGTGGTGGCTTATTCAGCGGCCTAACCATGGTGGCGTAGACAGGCAATCTTCTAACTGGTATTCCGCAGTTCAGCAATGGCTGCTAGGCGGTTATACAATTTTGTGCGATTGTTATTGCGACGATCATGGGGGACATTGTTCCCATTGAAGTTGGTAGACCAACCTGAAGCTGAACAACGAAAGTTCTATGTTTGCTTACTTCTATCACAGTTGATGACTAAACACAAACTAAGAGGATTCCAAGTGTGGCGTTGACACGACGTTAGTGAGTGTTCGTTTGTCTCCACACCCATGGGCGACTTTGTTAATCAGTTATCGCTTCAGTGTCTCCATGTATGGCGTTATGTAAAGGTCATAGGAACCTATGTATTCATAGGATAATTAGGCTTCACTTCCATATGGTCGCCCATACGTGTTGAGACGCTTTGACAAGTGGCTCTCCGAATGGCACCATTAGAAGCACAGTCAATGCAGATGGAACCTCCCTATTACGTCCATGGACTGGAATGCTATCCTCATGAAATCGGCATTACTCAACAAAGAAACACCTAAAGGGGCTACAATGACTACGGTATTTATACATGCCACATCGTCCTGCTAGAAAAAACGCAAGGCTGATAATTAGTGGCGACGCAGGCATTTTACTCTGGTAATTCAGGTGAGTACTTGGAACAGACAAACACTGTTGTCTCACCCACGGGCGTTCCTACAATGTGTTTGCAATCATTTACAAAGGCAACCGCGCCCACTAATCCTGCTATGGACCACTGTTTCAGCTAGTCTTAGAAGCAGTCATGTGTGCACGCCGTGACACAGGTTGTTATCGACTTGGCAACTACTCGGAAACATTTTGTCATTGGAAAGTAGGTAATTCCGGAGGCATTGTTGAAGGAGGAAAATTGCTCCAAACTCTATGCTTACTATGCGTATGCAATGCTCGTTGGCAGATCATATCAGGGCCGTAGGGTCACTTGGTATTTCAAGCTTATCAATCACTTGGAAGTGAAGTGTAAATATCATGTTGAAACGCAGGATTGACATGCATCTTACGACCTTAACATAACGGCAGGTCCATGGGTCCTGTAGCGGTAACTGATTACCGAAGTGGCCCACAGGTGTGGAGACGAACGAACACTCACTAATGTCGTGTCACCGCCACACTAGGAACCCTCCTCTTTGGAACAATGGCTACAGATCCACTGATGGTCTTACCTACCCAGCGAACTTGACCTTAGTATACAATGCGCCGACTACATCAGCAGTACGTAGCTACGCTATTCACATGAGTGTACGGCCAACTGAAAAAACACAGCACGAGAACTTTGTAGCTGTAAAGGTTTTAAAAATTCTATTTGCGAAGAAGTTCTAGCTTTACCTCCTTCATACGAATTACTGCATTGTTTCTGATTACCTCACACTGCCTTAACAATCACACGCATATCCTAAGCGAAATCGCACACCTATCGATTCTCCAGATTGCTCGCAGTGGCACGATTACACTATGCATACCGTATCACGTGTGGCCAGATAGGCAAGCGAGCAAGGAAGGCAACCGTGCAGTCAACCCGTAAGCCTTCAAAGCTTCTCTTCCAACAGCCTGCAAGGGTTGCAGCCTCAACAAAAACTACCAATCTGCTTCTTATTACCACTCACTTAGATGTCATCTCGCGCGCGAGATGGCCGTACACTCATGTGAATAGCGTAGCTACGTACTGCTGATGTAGTCGGCGCATTGTATACTAAGGTCAAGTTCGCTGGGTAGGTAAGACCATCAGTGGATCTGTAGCCATTGTTCCAAAGAGGAGGGTGCCTAGTGTGGCGGTGACACGACATTAGTGAGTGTTCGTTCGTCTTCACACTTGTGGGCCACTTCGGTAATCAGTTACCGCTACAGGACCCATGGACCTGCCGTTAAGGTCGTAAGATGCATGTCAATCCTGCGTTTCAACATGATATTTACACTTCACTTCCAAGTGATTGATAAGCTTGAAATACCAAGTGACCCTACGGCCCTGATATGATCTGCCAACGAGCATTGCATACGCATAGTAAGCATAGAGTTTGGAGCAATTTTCCTCTTTCAACAATGCCTCCGGAATTACCTACTTTCCAATGACAAAATGTTTCCGAGTAGTTGCCAAGTCGATAACAACCTGTGTCACGGCGTGCACACATGACTGCTTCTAAGACTAGCTGAAACAGTGGTCCATAGCAGGATTAGTGGGCGCGGTTGCCTTTGTAAATGATTGCAAACACATTGTAGGAACGCCCGTGGGTGAGACAACAGTGTTTGTCTGTTCCAAGTACTCACCTGAATTACCAGAGTAAAATGCGTGCGTCGCCACTAATTATCAGCCTTGCGTTTTTTCTAGCAGGACGATGTAGCATGTATAAATACCGTAGTCATTGTAGCCCCTTTAGGTGTTTCTTTGTTGAGTAATGCCGATTTCATGAGGATAGCATTCCAGTCCATGGACGTAATAGGGAGGTTCCATCTGCATTGACTGTGCTTCTAATGGTGCCATTCGGAGAGCCACTTGTCAAAGCGTCTCAACACGTATGGGCGACCATATGGAAGTGAAGCCTAATTATCCTATGAATACATAGGTTCCTATGACCTTTACATAACGCCATACATGGAGACACTGAAGCGATAACTGATTAACAAAGTCGCCATGGGTGTGGAGACAAACGAACACTCACTAAAGTCGTGTCAACGCCACACTTGGAATCCTCTTAGTTTGTGTTTAGTCATCAACTGTGATAGAAGTAAGCAAACATAGAACTTTCGTTGTTCAGCTTCAGGTTGGTCTACCAACTTCAATGGGAACAATGTCCCCCATGATCGTCGCAATAACAATCGCACAAAATTGTATAACCGCCTAGCAGCCATTGCTGAACTGCGGAATACCAGTTAGAAGATTGCCTGTCTACGCCACCATGGTTAGGCCGCTGAATAAGCCACCACCAGGTAGCCGCTAGCGATCACTATAGACCGCTTCATGTGCTGGTTAGTATGTCTGTCCGCACTGGTTACGTCTTAAGCTTCGGATCATGTGGTAGCTAGGATCTCCTCCTTAGACAGGCATCACAATTTGCCCATTGGACGGTTTCAGTTTGGAGACCAATCATCGAGGTTTCCTTCAGATAGGCATCAAAATAGAACAGAAGGTGGTGCTCGACCACTTTCATTGGACT